CTAGCCCCACCCGCCAACAAGCACTCTGCAGGCTAACGCTCATACACACACACCACCACCACCACTCTGGTTTTTGATGCAATGCACACCCACGCCCCACCCCCCCCCCAGCCCCCCACACGGCCCCAACACGGGCCCCCACCCGACACGTAGATGATGCCCGCGCGCGACACGGTGGCGGGGGAGGCGTTGGCCAGGTTCTCCGGCTCAAACAGCGCCCGCATCTGGGGCGTCATCTGGATGCGGTCGCCGTTGGCCAGCGTCAGCACCTTGTTGTCGTCCTGCGATGGCGGGCAGGCAGGCAGGCGGGCAGAGATGTGGCGGTGGTGGGCAGCCAGGAGAGGCAGGGCACCAAGGGGAGGGCAGGTGCGAGGAGGTGAGTGGAGGGCAGCAAGGGACGCGGGAGGGCAGGGGGAGGGCCGCCCTGCCAAGCTGTGAAGCGGCCGGCGCCGTGTCGCCGTGCGGCAGTAGAAGCCAAGTGCCGAGTGTGATGGAAGGAGGGGCAGCTTCCCTACCCGTAGCGCTGCCGGCGCCGACCCGACGCGCCGACCCGACGCGCCGACCCACGCGCGCGGCCTCCCCGGCACCCGCACGCGCACTCCCGTCCCATTTCACCCAACCCACCAGCACTGTGTTGCAGTTCTCGATCCAGATCGCATCCACCGGGCCGTCCAGCACGATCCAGGTGTGCTGGTTGCGGGCCTTGGCGGCGCGGCGCCACAGCACCGAAAATATGCCGTCGGTCCAGTCGCCTGCGGGGTGGAGTGGGGGGCGTGGAGAACGAGGAGGTGGGGGGCGGGGCGGCGATAGTGGAACGGCAGCAGCAGCGGAGCGGCGGCAGCTCGATGCGCGGGCGGGGGCCGGCGTGCCGCTGTCTGCGCCGCCATTTGCAAAACTGCTCAGCTCCGGCCCAAACACAAACCGTCCCAACTCAAACACCCCTAAAGGCACCCTCCCATCCCAAGCCAGCCCACTGCTGCCACCACACCACACCGCACACCCACTGCACCACACCACACCGCGCCACCCACCA